GTCCACAACCTGCAGTAAAGAGGCGGGGACGGACTACGACCTCCATAATTCCCCATGCACACAATACAGCCAGTGGCCAGGCTTGCTGGAGGATTCTGGAGGTTATGGTCCGGATCAGGAACTTTCCCAAGCTCTGGAAGGAGAAGGAAGGCCACCTTATTACGTTGTAAAAGAACATAATCTTGCTAAAGTATTTTGAACAAAGAAAAAAAGGGAGGGATTAAAATGCTATGTAAGCAAGCACTAATGACTGCTATTATTTTTAACCGAGAGCTTCTCCTGCTGAAAAAAAGGGGTGCAGCTTCTGCACAGGAACAACTGTGCTTATTTTTTCACAGCAATATTTCTCTGTTCATGAAGAGGCAAATCGGGAACGAGGCCCGGCCGGAAATGTCATCCGTCCTCGTCCTCCTCTTGCAGATCAGCAGCTCTGCATAGCAGCCCCCAGCCACCGCCCATGCTTTTGGGGGGGGGATTAAAATAAATTCCATGCATTTAATTACGCATTTATAACTTGCCTTTTGGCTCAGCTAGCCTTCGAGATTGCTAATGATATAAAATCAATTAAAACCCACATGTTGGGGGGAAAAGGACAGTACAATGCATTACAAATCACCACAATACTCAAGAGACAATGCTTCTAGTGAGGGTGGGGTTGAGGGACATAATGTGTTAGTCTCTTGCAGCGGAAATAAGCAGTTTTTTTTTAAAAAAACCTACTTATTTTATTTAATTTTGGGGGAAAGGGAGACCCCTGACCTGGCAATGCATGAAAGGACCTATCATTAACAACCCTGCTTAGGTCTTGCAAACTTAAGGCTGTGGCTTCCTTGATGGGGTCCATCCATCTCATATTTGGTCTTCCTCTTTTCCTGCTGCCTTTAATTTTTTTTCCAGCATCATTGCCTTGGGAATTAGAGTATACCCCCTAGAGAAAAAGCTGCTGAATAGCGTGTCAATGATACAGTGCATCTAGCTTGGGATACTAAGAAAATTCAAGCAGTCCCACAAAGAATTCTTGTCATTCCTATTTGCTAGACCTTCTTTCTGAAACCTAGACAAATTAAACTCTGCACATGGGGTACATTGAACACGTATGCCTTCCCCCAACAAAACATGTGGTTGGAAGCCCTTTCCCTGTGTTGCAGATTTCCCCAGTGACCAAAAGCAGGGTATTTTCAACTTCACCTATAAGGACTAGTAACTTGCAACAGCCAACAATCTTAGGACACTGAATTCGTATCAGGATTCAGCGGGATCACGGAACGACAAAAGAGACACAGCCCTTCCCACGGTCCCTTTTCTCGAGGCATCTGGAGCCCTTGTAAGTCCCCAGGGCTTTGTTCCCAGGAGGGGGGAAACAAGTGAGGCCAAGCTGATTTGAATAAATCAATTATTTTGGTGCCTCTGACTGGTCTTGTGATTGATTCTTCCTTGGCAAGGCTGGGCTTGCAGCCGCTGCCGCCATTAGCTGATTACTTCTTGACAGGAGAAGCTTTTCTTTTATTTGAATGCCGTCCAGTACTGGAGAAGGCAGGGAGAGAGCAGCATAATTTGAAGGAAAATTAGGGGTGGGAATCGGGGTGGTGGTGGAAGTCCAGTTCGCTCTGTCTATTAGTCAGGAATGTTTTGGCTTGAAGTTCCCTTGCTCAGGTCACATGAGATGCGCTGACAGCTTCTGAGCATGTACAGAGTCTGATGAGGCTGGAGAGACTCCAGTTTCCCCAAGGATGATGGGGTGTTCGTGTCAACTATACAGGGATGACCTGAAGTGTCAAAGCCTTGCTCTTAGAAGACGTTCAGCACCCTTTAAAGCGGAAAGCTCCTTTAAAGTTTGGGTTAAAATCCGGTGTTGATTGATCGCTCCTGCAAAATCAAAGTCAACAGTTCTCTTCGGGTGAATGCCAACTTCCCTCGGACATAACTCTAAAGAACTGCTAACCTCTGGGCCTGTGCAGAGTGCCTCCTCCGCAGATTGCAGAGATGTCACCTTCCCCGTATATAAACTAGCCCGCAAATTGCGGGTGTGAGCTAAACGCCAGTAACCAAAAGCTACACGAATCTTGCCCTTTATTTTTCCCATCTGATGATTACGAATCTCGCCATCATGGGCTCCTTCTGGCACATTTCTTCAGTTATCATCTGAGTCAAAAAGAGACGGGTGACATCAATAGTTAATTAAGTTCTAAAACCGGGGATTTGGGCGGACGGGAAAGGGCGACGTCCAGAGGGACGTTAAAACCCAGCCACCCTCCATTGAGAAACTCAGCATCAGCAACAAAGCTTGTTGTTTTCCGCCTGCGCGGCGACACAAAGCCGCAACCTCGCCGACGGGCTCCCGCTTGGGCCCGAAGCAGCCGCATCTCCAGGCAGACGTAAGAGGCATTATTGCTGCCCGTGGCAGACAAAGAGGAAGGCAGGAAATGAAAAGATCCAGGAGAGAGAGAGAAGCGCAAGAGTACACTCAGAAGGAATAAGGACGCACAGAGAGATGATAAAAGCGGCCAAAGGAAGAAAGGAGGCAGAACGGGTCCAGGCCCCTGCGCACAATGCTTTTGTCTGCTGTTGCTCAGACAACATGCCTACAGCATCATCCCGGGGGCGATGCTCATTTGTAGGGTGGAGCGAAGAACTGGGACTCGGGAGATGTGCGTTCAAATCCCTTCTCGCCCATGTAAATTCACCATCTTGAAATCCTGATTAGGATGGCCAGAAGTCAGTTCCCACTTGACCGCATATAAAACACACAAGACTGTTTGTGGTATTTAAAGAAATCGGTGAGAGGGGTGAGGGGAAGTAAATTTTAAAAAGTGCTAGAATCCTAGTTTGCAATTTGTCATGTACGTAAAGCCATTGTTTTACCATTTCTCCGGCAATGGGCAGCCACAATCTGTCATACTAGCAAGGAAGACCAGACAGCAGGCACACAGCCCAGGAAACAGGGTACTTGTCATGTACGTAAAGCCATTGTTTTACCCTTTCTCCGGCGATGGGCAGCCACATGGGCAATCCGTCATACTAGCAAGGAAGACCAGACACCAGGCACACAGCCCAGGAAACAGGGTATATTGTGTGCACAATCGTCTCTTGCAACTAAGCAAGACAATAGGTGGTTGTAGCCATAGAAAATGAAGGAAAACGTATTTCCTTTGAACTTCTCAATTAATCTTGCATTCATAATGGATTGCTATGATAGTTGCCCCAAGTGAGACTAGAACAGAAGAGGAGGTAGAATCTAGTCAAACTATATGTCAAAAATAATATTTCTGCAAGAAATATAGGGAGACCAGGCTGGTTGTCTCATTGATAGCATCTGGGTTAATATAATTGGGGTGGGGGGAAAAAGGAACATGGTAGTCGGAGTCTTCTACCGACTGCTCAATCGAAGAGAAGATGTGGATGAAACTTTTGGCAAACAAATTGCAAGGATTTCAAAGAGACCCAATGTTGATTTCAATTATCCTGTCATCCGTTCAGAGGCAAATTCGGCCCAATATGGCCCTTCCAAGAAATTCCTGACTTGTATGGCTGATCGTTTTCTCCTACAAAAAGTGGAGGGGGGAAAAACTAAAGGATTAACTATCCTGGATTTGATACTAACCAAGTTACACTCGAGTTCTTGATTTCAAAGGAAGCAAAAGCAGAGTGTAGCTGCACATATACACTGGGCTTTAGGAAAGCCAGTTTAATAAACTCAGAACAAGGATAGGTAAGATCCCAGGGCAGGAGAACCTAACAGTAAAAGGAATCCAAGAGAGTGTAGCTGCACATATACACTGGGCTTAGGGAAAGCCAGTTTTAATAAACTCAGAACAAGGATAGATAAGGTCCCAGGGCAGGAGAACCTAACAGTGAAAGGAATCCAATATGGGTGGGAGCTGCTAAAAAGGAAATGCTAAAGGTGCAGCTAAAAACAATTCCAACAAGAAAAAAAAAGATGGAAGACAGGAAAACAAGACCAATGTGGCTTCACAAAAAACTCAGGGAGGACCTTTGAAAACAAAAGAAAGACACATATAAGAGGCAAAAGGAAAGCCAGGATACAAAGGAATACTACAGACAAGGATCAAAGAATTGCAGGCAATAGAAAGGCAAAAGCTGAGAATGAGCTGAGGTTAGTAAGAGATGATAAAAGCAACAAAAAAAGCATTCTTCGGGTATGTGTGTAGCAAAAGACAGAGAAAAGAAATGATGGCTAAGCGACCCAGTGGGGATAGGAAAATGATAACAGAGGACAAAGAAAAGGCAGAGGTGTTCCGTTCCGTCTTCACCTTGGTCTTCTCCCAAAAGGCAGTCTATGCTCCTCCAGGCAAATGTGACGTAGAAAGGGAGGGGATAAGATTGCAGCTTGACATTGAGAAGCAAATAGTCCGTGCATTTCATTACCTTGAATGAATTCAAATCCCCAGGGTTGGAGGAACTGCATCCAAGAGTATTAGAGGAACTGGCCACAGAGATCTCAGAACCACTGTCCATTTTTTTTTGAAATTGTGAAGGATGAGTGAAGTGCCAGATGCTTGGGGGTGAGCCAGCATTGTCCCTAACTTCAAAATGGGGCACATTGAAGCAGTAGGCGGGAACTTCGGTTTCCATCCCACAAATCCTCTTGAGGTGGAAAAATGCAACTGGAAAAGTCTGAAAAATCTATTTTGGTTATTGTGCTGCTTTAAAACACGATAGGGAGTCTCTCTGTCTTAACAGCTTGGCCACTGCCTCTGGGGAGTCTGGGAAGCAGAAATTCATCCCCCCTCCCTTGGTGGAGGAAATACAGAGAGCTGATGGGTCCAAGGACCACAAAATTACCCTTGAGGGACCATGTGCGGCTCAAGGCATGCCTGTTGCCCACCCCTACATTAAAGGGGGGAAACTGACTAGGCTACGTAGTCCTTATTGAGCAAATCTTGAGGGCAACTCTTGAGTGAACCTCCTGTCCGGAACGGGTGAATGAGAGAAGTTTTCTTAGCTGTTTCAGAGGATTTTTTCCCCCTCCTCTTTCGCAGATAGATCAAGATGGGCTGACATTGTCTGAGAGAACGCTTTACCTGGGACAGGATGAGGAAAGCGAAAAGGTGAGAGGAAAGTTTGTACACTCAGGTAAATATACTGTATCTTGATATGTAATGCTTACTCCACCCTCACCCCCATGTAAGTTTTGAGAGTGGCTGTTCTTGGCCTAAGTGTCCTCTATAGGGGGAAAATGATAATTTACATTTGAAATCATAGTTTTACATTTGCAACCTTACCACCTGCCTGCAAGTATTTGCAACTAGGAGGACCTTTCTGAGCTGGTGTGATTGTCTATCTATCCAGCACTAACCAATCATTCCCTCCAGCCTCTGAATTCAAAGAGAGCCCCACCTCTCTGCTGAGTGTTTATTTTCCTCTCTTTCCTCTGCCGGAGGCTGTTGTTTGTTTGCTGTTGATCAGTTCAGTTGGTTTCTAAGTATGTGTGCAGAGAGAAAGCAGCATATGCAGGTCTGTGATTTTAAGCAACTGTAAGTACAGAGAAAATACTAATGTAAAGCAAAGCAAAAAGCAAAGCGTGCTGCTTATATACCACCCCATAGCGCTTCAAGCACTCTCTGGTTTACAAGTTAATGATGCAGGCTACACATTGCCCCCCACCCCAGCGAGCTGGATACTCATTTTACCGACCTCAGAAGGATAGAAGGCTCAGTCAACCTTGAGCCGGCTACCTGGGATTGAACCCCGGGTCGTGAGCACAGTTTTGGCTGCAGTAAGCAGTTTAACCACCGTGCCGCGAGGCTTAACCACTGCGCCACAATTTCATTCATAATAAGTTGGAATAAGTTACATGGAGAGCATTATTTGCAATTAACTATCAACATAATGAAATGAATATTACATCCCTTAGAGGTTTTCCTGCAGTCCCCTTTTTGCAAGGAAGCATTCAGAAAGTTCACCCAGATGTCAAAGAAATCTCTTTTTACTTCACAGATCGGGTATCTCTTCTCCTCCATGTAGGGTTGCCAGACATCCGGCAAAAGGAGGACATGTCCTCCGTCCAGCAGGCAAAGATAAAAACTTTTTAAATGTCCAGCTTTTGTATATTTTATGTTATAATTTTGGATGGGAGGGGGAGAGGGGGAAGGACCCCCCTCCCCCTGTCTTTCCCCACCCCTGCCCACCCTGTTACCTGCTGCCAGTGATGGAGTGCAGCCTTTGCCTCCTCGTGACGCGGCAGCAACTGCTCGGTGATCCGCCTTGCCCGCCCAGCCCACATGGAGCCCAGAAAAACAGCATGAGCAGAGCACCGCCCGCTGAGCCAGGCAGGAGCAAGTAGCGCCCGATGGGAAGGCGAGTGCCTGGACTGTGTGTGTCCAAAGTCCCTTTCGGGGACTCCAACTCCCACACTCCCCAGCCTTGAACTTATGACCCTCAAGGACAGGAGGCTGCCTCATTCGGCTTTGCCTGGCGCCGCTTTCCCTCTGCCTGCGCCAGAGCCTTGTTTGGGCATCCAGATTAGCAAGGTTGCCTCTGAACCTGTGCAGAGTGCAAGCAGCCAGGGGATCCCGCAGCCAAGCTGGGGTGGGTTCGGGTTTATATGCTTTGCTTCCAATCGGAAGCCGCTGTTTCTTGGTCGGCCCCCTTCCTGTTTGTTAAATGAAACATTCACTATGTTCTCCTCTGTCCTCTTGTTCGTCTTTCTATGCCCTCCTTTTGGTACCCGTGTATGTATCTGGAAACCCCACCTCCATGAGAGTTGGGGGACTCAGTAATGACAGCAAACCTAAGCTCTACAGGTTTTTCTCCCTCTTTATTATCTAGGACTTTTTGTGCCATGTCTAAAGGATGGGAAAAAAAACTCCAGACAGGTTAGATTTTGATATAAGGAGGAATTAAGTTTTATTAAACATTAAGAAAAAAAGAATGCAGCACATTCTTAAGAAAAGTAGCAATGCCAAGGCAGGGTGTGACAATGCAGGGCCCTTCTATTATCATAACCTAATTAAATAAAATGTTTGTCAGTGTTTAGGAGTACAGTGGTGCCTCGCAAGACGATGTTAATTCGTTCTGCGAAAATTGCTGTCTTACGAAAGCATCGTCTTGCGAAATGAAAAAGCCCATTGAAATGCATTGAAACATTGAAACAACAATGTGTTCCAATGGGCTGAAAACTCACCGTCCAGCGAAGATCCTCCCTGGGGCGGCCATTTTCGCTGCCTGTAAAGCGGGGAATCCATCCCTAAATACAACAGGGAGCCAACACAGCAGGGAGCCATTTTAATTACTCGGCGGTCATTTTGAAACCGCCTATCAGCTGTTAAAAAAACATTGTTTTGCGAAGAATCGGTTCCCGAAGCAGGGAACCAATCATTGCAAAGCGAAAAAACCCTATTTAGACCATTGTTTTGTGATTGCAAAAGCGATCGCAAAAACATCGTCGTGAACTGGTTTTGTTGTTTAATGAGGCAATCATTAAGCGAGGCACCACTATAATTCTGTCCCTGGAGTAAGCCAACTTCCTTCATATGTCTGTCTAGCTTTGTGGTTCGTAATCTTGCGTCTCCCAGGTGTTCTTGGACTGCAGTTCCCAGAAGCCTTCACTGCTGGCTGTGCTGGCCAGGATTTCTGGGAGCTGGAGTCCAAGAACATCTGGAGACCCAAGGTTGGTTAAGCACTAATCTAGAGGGTCCCTGGATGATTTGCAACCTGGAGTCCTTTTTGGTTCATTCTCAGCCCCTTTTCCCAGCAGGGCCCCCAGATTTCCCATGGTTTTCTTCCTTTCCTAGCGAGGGCGAAAAGAGGAAGATCCTCTCGCAGGGTTAAAGCCTAAGGACTGCTGAATGAGTCTGGTCGGCGAGGGCCTGCGAATCAACAGGGGCAGCGCCACTGAGAGATCTCTTGACTATCTGTCTCATGAAATCACAACCTCCCCTCGCAAGATGCCAGCCTGTAACAGGATGAGCCAATTGCTTTTGGTTTCTGGGACTGCTGAATGGCACGGCTCAATCCGCTGCTCTTGACACAACAGCTGCTTGGAAATTCATGCCGTTTGCAGTGTAAACGTGCTCCCAGAGGGGATTTCCAACCTGCCTGCCTAACCTAGCCGTGGACTCCCCAGTCTTGTTTTTTGATGAATGGCCTCGCTCCTCCCTAGATCTTAGCTGCCTATCGGGTGTTCATGGAGCGTCTGCTGAGTCTCCTGGGTGCAGAACACGTGGAGCAGAAAGCCAATGAGATCCTGCAGTTGGAACAGCGGCTGGCCAATGTAAGTGAGCATCAGCAACGTATTCCTTCTCAATTGCACACCAGTTCACCAAAAGTCCCTTTTTTACAATTCCCTTTATGAGCCTGACCAGGCATTAAGATCATCAGGGGACGCCCTTCTCTCAGTCCCGCCACCTTCGTAGGTGCATTTGGTGGGGACACAGGATAGAGCCCTTCACTGCGGCTGCTCCCAGACTCTGGAACTCCCTCCCACTGGAGGCCAGCCTGAGCCCATCTTTGCTGTCCTTCCGCACACAGGAGAAACCTCTTCTCCGCATGTTTTGGTGGACGGAGTTGCTTCCATTATCTTTGCTTCTTTTCAGCTGAAAATAAATAAATAAATATCAGATCTCCTTGTTAATATGCCAGAAATTAGTTCTGCCACTATTCATATACTATGTTTAACAGGAGATTGAATGTGTTTTGGTGTTGCTTATGTTTCTTAGCATGGTATTTATTTGATCCTTTTTAGTATTTGTGTATTCTCTGTTGTTAGCTTCAGTGGCGTCTTTTAATGATGTAAGCCGCCTTGGTTCCTCTTAAGGAGAAAGGTGGGGTAGAAATGTTGGGTTGTGTGCAACTTTGTCTCATTGTGTGTGAATGACGCACAAGCCAAAAGAAAAGCAGAAATGTCTCAGAGTGAGTCACTGAGATTGTAAGCGCCAGCTGATGAGAAGAAAAGGGGTGGTCTGCTCTGGGAAACTTGAAGCTAATTCTGCTCTGTGAATCTCTGCACTTCTGCTGAGCAGCCAGAGAAATTTAATCAGAAATTCAAAACTCTGCAACCATTTCCAGCATGCCTAACCAGCTGGAAACCACCTACAATATGCAGCGATGACAGCCGAATGCCCACTTCCTCTGCTAGGAAGCCGTCTGGTGGAATCCTGACATTTGTAATTTGTATGTCCTCTGAGTTCAGGGGAGAGTACGACAGCTCTCCTGCAAAGAATTCTGAGTCTCTGGCCAAATTCTAAATTGAAGGGCCTTGTAGGATGAAGAGAGGAGACAGCTAAAATGATACCAAACTGCTATAACCGATTTGTGTAGATAGGGTTGCACTGTCCAGCGTGCAAGCGTCTCCTTGCTCTAGACAGGCCCCTCTTGTGCAGCTGATTGTGCAACCCTTTGCACAAGCAAGTTTGTACACAGCACAAGAGGAGGCATGCAAAGGGGAACCTCCTGAAGCCAAGGGAAAAGCATAAGAAATTTACGACCACAAAATGCAGCAGGATCCTGAATGTAGCCTCCTGTTCTTTATAACTGACATCCACTCAGAGGTGACGCTGTTTCAGACCTCAGACCCACACCTTTGGATTCCCTCGCCCTTCCTCTGGAGCATTTGCCCAGACGGATGGCATTGGGCGGCAGGGCGGAAGGCAGTTTCTCATCTTCTTATCTGTTATGGTACAGCTGGGGTGGACCTGCTTGCCATGATTTTTTTTTGTTTTGTAATCTATTTGGTTCCTTTGACTCCTGCACCCTTGGATCATGCTTACCTTGGTCCTGGAATTTGGAACTCCCACCCCCCTTTTGCTATTTCTTCTTCTTTTCCTCCCCTATGTCATTTTTAAAATTGCCTTCTATTATTGTTAAGTCTTGTTGTTTGTTAGCTGCCCAGAATAGTAGCTTCATTATTAGTTGGGATGGATAAAAATATGAATGAATGAATGAATGAATGAATGAATGAATGAATGAATGAATGAATGAATGAATGAAATCAATGAATAAATAGATAAATTTCCTCCCCTTAAATCCCCCCCTCCCTCCATTTTACAGATCACAGTCTCTGAGTACGACGACCTCCGCAGGGACATTAATTCCATGTACAATAAGGTGACGCTGGGAGAGTTGCAGCGCATCATGCCTAATGTAAGTTTGGGGCGGGGTATGAAACTGGTAAACACTTTTAGGAAAGCGACAAGCAGTCAGGGGAAAAATTGAGAGGAGAGTGGCAACAGGATGAAGAGAAAAGTCTCGTCGGTCTACTAGCTCATCCGTTTTTTGTTCATTGTCTCTTGGGACTTTGCTATGATTTGCTCCCTCTCAATTCCATAGGATTGTACAGTAGGGCCCCTGATATCTACAGGATCAGTATCCGTGGATTCACTCATCCGTGGCCTGAAAATATTAAAAATATTAAAAGAAAAATCCCCGAATTGTATATTTCTAAAGATGACGTTACCAGAAGTGTCCACTACAGGGAGCCAGAGACCAAACCAGTGTTTGCTATTAAACTAGTGTTCCCTATAATCTGCATTTTTCAGCATCTGTGGGGAGGGGCTTGGAACCCATCCCCTGCAGATATGGGGCTGTGTGTCCTACTGTTCTTGATTCTGGCCAAGCTGCCCCTGTTGCCCCTCCTATACAACCCACAGAGGTAAAGGTAAAGGTTCCCCTTGACAACTTTTGTCCAGTTGTGTTCGACTCTAGGGGGCTCATCCCCATTTCCAAGCCATAGAGCCAGCGTTTTGTCCGAAGACAATCTTTGGCCAGTGCGACTTAGACACGGAACACTGTTACCTTCCCACCGAAGTGGTCCCTATTTATCTACTTGCATTTGCATGCTTTCGAACCGCTAGGTTGGCGGGAGCTGGGACAAACAACAGACGCTCACTCCGTTGCGTGGATTCGATCTTACGACTGCTGGTCTTCTGACCCTGCAGCACAAGCTTCTGCGGTTTAGCCCGCAGCGCCACCACAACCCACAGAGACTGTCCGGAAAAGTCACTTTGCAGAAATTCACAAGTGCTATGGGGGAAACCCTGCCGCTCATCATGGCCCCCTTCTTTGTATCCCCGCCAGCTAAAATGGAAGCGGCTGCTCGACCGGATATTCCACGAGAATTTTTCCGAGGAGGAGGAGGTGGTGCTGCTGGCCACGGACTACATGCAGCGGGTGTCGGAGCTCATCCACACCACACCTATTAGGTGAGGATCTGGAATCCCCCCCAGCAATAAGTTGATGTTAGCCACAGCAAAAGGGGGATAACATGAGGCCCCGACTGCTTGCTCCTTTGCCTGTCACCCACTTCCTCCATTCTTTCCAAGGAGTTTGTGGTGGCCTTTTCATAGGTCTCCATCCATTGGTGGGATGTTATCATTTGGTGAAACCTCTTCTATGGCTCTGAAAATAGAGGGGGGATAGCGGGGACGTAGCTGGTCGCTCCCACTGTGTTAATTCATCGGTGGAGTGACTAGGAGAGGGGAAACCTTCATTCAAGTTTGAGGCTCATGGTTTATCTTAATTAAAGATGCTTTTGGGGGGGGCTTAGTCGTGATCCCGCAGCCTAGCCCACCTCCAAGGGCTGTTGGACGATATTAAGCTTTGTGCGTGCTACCCAACAGGTTGGAAAGTACCTCCACTTCCGTTCAGTGGCCGCTGGGATGGAAATGTTCCATTTCACCAGTATCTCCTCCATCCTGGATTTCTCTCAGAGCTCAAAATAATACTCAGGGGGAAAAAATCCCCCAGTGGTTGGGAATTGGAGGTTTTCTGGGGCGTTTACTCCACAAAAAGTTTGCTTTTCTAATCTCTGATCTCTCTAAAACAGGACATGGTTGGTCCTCCCATGGATCTGGACTACAGTTCCCACTACATTGGTCCATGGGTTGTGTTGGCTGTGGCAGATAGGAACTGGAGTCCAAGAGAAGCGATGATTCGGATGATTCTTCTTAACCCCTAAATTTACTTGATTTTAAACGGATATGTGCCCCATACCTGTTTCTATTATTCTACTCTCTTGAATCCCTGCTACTGGGGATTCTGCTATATTTTCTTTGTCCCACATGATCCGTTCATCAAACCTGACCCTTAAGGTCTGCATGCTTGAAGAAGGCCTCTCTCACTGCATGGTGGGGGAGGGAAATACATTTTGGAGCAGAAGTTGAGATGAACCCATTTCCCTGACCGGCTTGATTTCTACAGGCAGGTT